TTATTATGCATGTATTCATTTCTCACTTTCCAACCTGCAGGTTCTGCTGCTTGATGGCAGGGGCCATTTACTCGGTCGGCTTGCTGCCCTGGTGGCTAAACAGGTCCTTTTGGGTAAGTTTATTTCTTTTTAAGTAAACCCATATGTAATTTAATGCTGGAAAACCATTAACTCTAAAGTCATTTATAGCAAGAATGAACCCTTGATTAAAATACCCAGCAGTGAATGGAGTGAGACCCTGCTCTCGATCAATATTGAGATTACCAAAGGGGAAATTAAGCTGCTTTGCCTCTGTCAATGATGATCACCTTACAGCTTTGCTTGAGTTTAACGACCATGAGAAAACTCACATGCACTACCATCTGAGACAGTATGCAGGCGATGGTTAATGTGAGCACATTTTATTCCTCTCCAAATGCTAAACTACAGTTTTCTTTTAGGACACAAAGTAGTGGTGGTGAGATGTGAAGGCATCAACATCTCCGGAAACTTCTACCGTAACAAGCGTAAGTAGAGTTTATGTATGCTCGACAAAACACTTTTCCATTGTGCCTTATGATTTGCCTGTTGTCAGTGATGATTCCCTACTATATTGTTCGAGTTTAATTGACCATGAGACCACTACATGCACTACCATCTGAGACATCAGCATTTAATACTGCCATAATGGCTGCCCCTGCTTGGAGTCCTTGAAGTATTTGTGACTCAGTTCAGTGTTTACATTTTGTTCCCCTCTATAGTGAAGTACCTGGCTTTCCTGCGTAAGAGGATGAACACCAACCCCTCTCGTGGACCTTTCCACTTCAGAGCCCCCAGCAGGATCTTCTGGAGGACTGTCAGAGGTGAGCATGAAACTAAGTGTAAAGTTGGGAAGGGGCAACTCTCAACAAATGAAATGTAATACTGACATATTCTTGTAGTGGGAATATCACAGCATATACTGTGAAATAAATTGCCTTTCAGTGTCAAAGCTATTGAACAATGCTATTACCGTTTTGAATAAACAGATTGCACTCAAACAAGTTGTTCAGTTAAAATGCAGTAAATGCTTTTTTAAGTGTGGACTGCGCATTGGACAGGCATTATTTACTTTGACAGAGATATTTATTTCTCTACCATGAAATGTGGCTGAGACACTATAAGTCTAGTTGCAAGGCCTAAACATTTTAATCATAAGAACCAACAAAGATCCAGTGTTGGCTAAAATATAATTCTGTGTAATCTAGATTCATATTTGGTAATACAGGATCTTGGCATTTATTTGACCCAGCACAAGTTCTTTGATTGACAGTGATGAACACTATACCGAAACTGATCATCCATTGATGAGACAACTTTTCGGATCTGATTACTGAGTTGAGAAGGGGACATTCATGTGTGCTTGGACAAATACAGGTTAGGTTCGGGTTTAATGCAATGGCTATTTGAAACTTAATTGAACTAACGAGTATTCTGTTTACAGGCATGTTGCCCCACAAAACCAAGAGAGGACAGGCCGCTCTGGACAGGATGAAGGTGTTTGACGGTATCCCCCCACCCTATGACAAGGTGATTATTTCAATTGAAAAACAAAGGGCCACATTGTATACTATGTGCCCTTGACATGTCTACTCTGCTGTCTGTGATGTTAACCTTTATACTTACTTACCTTGTTTGAGTTATGACTCTGAAAATAAAATTATCTCTGAGACATGCAAGCCTATCAATGCAAAGACATTTTGTTTTCTTCTTTTACTGATTTTGGCTTTGTTTCCACAGAGGAAGCGCATGGTTGTTCCAGCTGCTCTTAAGATCGTGCGCCTGAAGCCCACTCGCAAGGTGAGCATCCATTATCTGTCTTTAAGAACAGACTAAATGGGATTTTGGCCACACTTAAGATTAGATCTTTAGTTCTTACATGGCTTTCATATTAGCCAACATGCAGAAATACCAGTTGAATTGGTTCAATCTGCCACAACGGTTCCTACTTGACAGTGATGAACACTATACCGAAACTGATCATCCATTGATGAGACAACTTTTCGGATCTGATTGCTGAGTTGAGAAGGGACGTTGTGCCTTTTTTTGTTTTTTTTAATGAAACTAAACAAAGTTTATAGGTGCACTATCAAAGAACATGTGAATGTTTGTTTTAGTGGGGAGTTTCTATTGCCTACACTTTAGAAGGTTAATTTAGAAAATATATGATTCACTTTGAAAGTTACTGACTTTGACTTTTCTGTCTCAGTTTGCTCTTCTTGGGCGTCTGGCTCATGAGGTTGGCTGGAAGTACGCGGCCATCACAGCCACCCTGGAGGAGAAGAGAAAGGAGAAGGCTAAGCTGCGCTACGGCAAGAAGAAGTGTACGATCAAGCTGACCAAGGTGGCAGAAAAGAACGTTGAGAGCAAGATTGCAAAATACACGGACGTTCTGAAACAATATGGAGTCCTTGTCTGATCTAGTTGTCTCCGGCCAATAAAGAAAATAAATGTTTATAGAAAGTGTATTGACTTTTTCATTCCGCTTTGCTGAAAGTTGCACTTATATTGAAATAAAGTTAATAATTCCAATTGTATATATTGGATCTGGCCATTGTTTGCAGACTTGACTAAATGTTTAATGCTTAAGGGACATGGCCAACCAGAAGCCTGACTAACATTACATGTGTGGGAGGAGATATTAGTGTTAATGACTTTCAGGCATGGGAATAAATACAGGCTTCAGGTTTTAATAATATGGTGAATTCTGAAGTTTAGAAGTACTAAGGAAATCGGTGTGGACTGTTTCATTTATGAAATAGGACTGAATGTCCTAAATGTGAGTGATCTGGGATTCAAAGGACTAACTGGGAAGTATCACTGGTTTGAAATAAAAGGGTGAAAAGGCTTCAACGCTGTCCCCACAAACTAATGAATTAAGACATGCATAAAAGTAAGAATATTTGCTTTGTCTGTTCACATTATGTCCACCTTTCTCCTTATCTAAACAATTGTGGCAAGTGCCATTAAAGGTGGGGTATGTCATTTATTTCAGAAACACTTTATATTCCATGGAATGCTCTTAACATCCCGATAGCAATGCATATATGAAATGCTTTGACAATAAATACATACAAAAATGTCGTCTGTGGAAGCCGTCGCGCTGTAAAAAGCACGACCAATCATTTTAGCCGGCCCGGCTAAAATAACTGGATGGCCAACCTGCCTGTCAGCCTTCCATCTGTGCACAAACTTATCTCGTGCCGTCATTGGTCATGTGCGCGTTCGTGTGTGTTGGCGCAGGGGCTCTGTAAGGAAGTCTGAAGGAAGAGGCAGATTTTTTTTCGGTTGAGTACTTTCAAATTCGCGCGCACTCGAGCTGGTTTCTCCAAAATTACATACCCCACCTTTAAGCATACCAATGCGTCCACTCTTTTGTAGTATAAAGACAAGTGTTCAGAGAGCTACATGATTTTGCGTCTATTGCATTGAAATTTGCATATTTAATTTACTTATGATAGTTTGCAAGAAAGTTAAAATATGGTTGTCACCGTTGTGGACTTCATTCATTTACTTTTGTCACAGTTGGTAAAAAAAGAAAATGGTAGATTTATCAATCCTGTGAATCACAGCGACCACTGTGGATCAGCTTCTCTACCAGCAGAGAGCAGTGTTACACTGATTGATTTGGGATCAATTGTGGAGATTCTCTTCCAAGTAATCTGATAAAAACACGTTATTTTCTCTTGCACCAATAAATTAAGGCAAAATATGATTCATCTTATTGATTTACCCTTGTCATAAAAAGTGTGGACATTTTTCAAATCCGTATGTTAAATATAATGCGATCCGTCAAGAACCTGTATACAAATAAAAGACACAATCCTAAAGAAGTGGACTATAAGTGTTAACTTTCATTTGCAATTATATGGTCTTAAAAGAGTACCCTCCAGAAAGTAAAGACACATCCAGCTAATTCTTACAGAATAATTTATTGTATATTTTTTTAACAACTATTTCTATTATTCAGGTTGGTACAAAATGATCACAGAAATGTAGCTGCACTTTACTGGTAAAACTACTGGATCTCCTGGGAAGGAATGGGCAGCCTTTAGTTCCTCATCTTAATAGGACAAACGTTGAGGTCATACAAAACAAGTCATTCCCTCTTTTACTGGTGCTCCAAAATAAGCTTTTGAGAGATGATTGGAAAGTTAATCAGTCAAAATCAGATCCACTACTGATTTTTCCCAGCCTTTCTGCCTTTTTATCAACGTGTTTTTTGCTTTCCTGTTTAATTTGAAAGATTTTTAGTTCTTAGGATGTGAAAGGAAAATCCAGTTTACATAAATAAATAAGAATATTTTCAAAAGTCAAAAGTGGAACCTATTAATCATCTTGTGAATTATCTTTGGACCATGTGAGAGGTCCCAACTTTGGTCAAGACACGTTGGTTGTGTCCTGTTTTTGAGCTTATTTATTTATGAATATTAATTTTGCTTTTAACTGAATTGTATTTTATTCTTCTTTTATTCCTTTTTATTATGTGTAGTATGTGTATATATATATATATACATTATATATGCATACATATTTAAATATAGGCCTATTTCTTTATTTTGGCTCACAGATCATGTGTTACACTCAGTATTGACCGGGAAGAGGGGTATTGTTTTTATTTGTGAATTGTCTATGTTTTAAACACATGTGGCATTAGAAAAGGGGCTATAAGTTATCAGTTATTTTTGATTTGTTTACAGCTTCCTTTTCTCCAACTCATTTTAGCTAAATGTCCATAATCCTCTGTGTTGATTGGAGGGTAATTGAGATCAGCTGTTGCAGGGTGTGGGGACTGACTGCTAATTAAGAACTGAGAGCAGCTTGTTGCATTTCTCCTTTTGGTCAATAGGGCTGTGATGACACCCTCTCTTTAGGACTTCAGAGAGGTGGAGACTGCAGGAGACTGCAGTACACACACACACACACACACACACACACACACACACACACACACACACACACACACACACACACACACACACACACACACACACACACACACACACACACACACACACACACACACACACACACTCGAGCAGTGGCTGAGTGAACATGCAGCCATTCATCATGGCAGCTTCCCCCAACGAGTCAACGCCGTTAGCTTGCTATGCTAAACTTGGGTCATGGAAATGAGTAAGTCTGGACAACAGCGTACATGTAGTCATTTTAATAGATGCACATCCTTCTCGGTTCGGCTTTATGCTTATATACTCGCGCACCATTTCTTTTTTTTGCAGTCTAAAATGTATTACACGTGCTTTGGCGTTGATGCTAAGCTAAAATATTGTCTCGTCGATGGGCTCCATGTGGCATTACAAAGTTCTATAACGTTCATAATTGGCAATTGGCCTTTTTTCCTAAGGACCAACAACGTTTTAAAATGGCGTGTGAGTTTTTACTATGTATAAAACGTGACCAGCAACATTAAGCTATTGAATCAGGTTTGAACCACGTGTTTAATAGATGTTACATATTTAAAGCAAGCTTATAGGATGGCCAATGTTAGCCGTATTTACAGCTCAACAATATAATGCAAGTATTAATATCCTCACTTTCCAACCTGCAGGTTCTGCTGCTTGATGACAGGGGCCATTTACTCGGTCGGCTTGCTGCCCTCGTGGCTCAACAGGTTCTGTTGGGTAAGTCATTATAGCGAGCATTAACCCTTGATTAAAATACCCAGCAGCAACTGAAATGAGACCCTGCTCTTTTGATAAATATTAAGATTACCAAAGGGGAAATTAAGCTGCTTTGCCTCAGTCTGTCAATGATGATCACCTTACAGCTTTGCTTGAGTTTAACGACCATGAGAAAACTCACATGCACTACCATCTGAGACAGTATGCAGGCGATGGTTAATCTGAGCACATTATATTGTTCTCCAAATGCTAAACTGCAGTTTTCTTTTAGGACACGTAGCAGTAGTGTTGGTGAGATGTGAAGGCATCAACATCTCTTGAAACTTCTACCGTAACACGGGTAAGTAGAGTTTATGCTCGAAAGAACCATATTTCCATTGTGCCTTATGCCTGTCAGTGATGATTCCCTACTATATTGTTCGAGTTTAATTGACCATGAGACCACTACATGCACTACCATCTGAGACAGTATGCAGGCGATGATTAATCTGAGCACATTTTATTGTTCTCCAAATGCTAAACTACAGTTTTCTTTTAGGACACAAAGTAGTGGTGGTGAGATGTGAAGGCATCAACATCTCTTGAAACTTCTACCGTAACACGGGTAAGTAGAGTTTATGCTCAAAAGAACCATATTTCCATTGTGCCTTATGCCTGTCAGTGATGATTCCCTACTATATTGTTCGAGTTTAATTGACCATGAGACCACTACATGCACTACCATCTGAGACAGTATGCAGGCGATGATTAATCTGAGCACATTTTATTGTTCTCCAAATGCTAAACTACAGTTTTCTTTTAGGACACAAAGTAGTGGTGGTGAGATGTGAAGGCATCAACATCTCTTGAAACTTCTACCGTAACACGGGTAAGTAGAGTTTATGCTCAAAAGAACCATATTTCCATTGTGCCTTATGCCTGTCAGTGATGATTCCCTACTATATTGTTCGAGTTTAATTGACCATGAGACCACTACATGCACTACCATCTGAGACAGTATGCAGGCGATGATTAATGTGAGCACATTTTATTCCTCTCCAAATGCTAAACTACAGTTTTCTTTTAGGACACAAAGTAGTGGTGGTGAGATGTGAAGGCATCAACATCTCCGGAAACTTCTACCGTAACAAGCGTAAGTAGAGTTTATGTATGCTAGACAAAACACATTTCCATTGTGCCTTAGGATTTGCCTGTTGTCAGTGATGATTCCCTACTATATTGTTCGAGTTTAATTGACCATGAGACCACTACATGCACTACCATCTGAGACATCAGCATTTAATACTGCCATAATTGCTGCCCCTGCTTGGTGTCTTGAAGTATTTTTAACTCAGTTTTTATATTTTGTTCCCCTCTACAGTGAAGTACCTGGCTTTCCTACGTAAGAGGATGAACACCAACCCCTCTCGTAGACTGTTCCACTTCAGAGCCCCCAGCAGGATCTTCTGGAGGACTGTCAGAGGTGAGCATGAAACTAAGTCTAAAGTTCAAATGCAGTAAATGCAATTTCTGTGGACTGCACATTGGACAGGCATTATATACTTTGACAGAGATATTTATTTTTCTACCATGAAATGTGGCTGAGACACTATAAGTCTAGTTGCAAGGCCTTACCCTTTTAATCATAAGAACCAACAAAGATCCAGTGTTGGCTAAAATATAATTCTGTGTAATCTAGGTTAATATTTGGTAATACAGGATCTTGGCATTTATTTGACCCAGCACAAGTTGTTCCTTGATTTGACAGCGAAGAACACTATCCCGAAACCGATCATCCATTGATGAGACAACTTTTCGGATCTGATTACTGAGTTGAGAAGGGGACATTCATGTGTGCTTGGCAGAGTTCCCGTTAGCCGGTAATTACCGGACAATGACCGGTAAAATATGCTGAAGTCCGGCAAATCTAAATCTCTCCGGTCAAAATGTCCGGTCAAAATAATTTTCCCTTAGCGCAATACCGCATCAGTTGCGCCACTTATGTGACAGACAAGAATAGTATGTGACAGACAAAAGAGTATGTGACAGACAAAAATTGTCAATTCTAATGTCTAACACTTAATGTGGAGAAAGAGATGTCCTGTATGGGTTGATTGTGCGTTGATCTGTTGGTAATGCCTCGGGGTTCCGGTGGGCATGTAAACAAATGCATAATGCTGCGCTATACTTTGTGGCCTCATCCGGTTGCATAGCGACGCTTATTGTTTAGGTGTCTTTTAACAAGCAGGTAGTCATATCATTAGCTAGAACTAGCTAGATCTGATCGATATGGACATAAATGCGAGTAAAGTCTAATCTGACAGGAGAGAGAGATCGGCTGCTGCTGACGAGTCGACACGCAGCTCTGCATGATCCCCTGCAGCGGCGAGCAGAGCAAAACACACTTCAGGTTAGAAAATCACACGTAGCTATTTTAATTACCTCTCAAACTACCTAAACTAGTTATAGATATGTTTAGTTTTACTGTCGGGTCACTCATTACTGGATCCGCGAGCTGCATGATACTGACGGGCTGTCAGGAGAAGGAGAGAGCGCTCCGTTTATTATTCCCGCGTTTTTGTAAATTACTGTACACTTTTGAATAATGTAGTTAATCTACTATAATTAGTTTGTTTAATGTCGAATCATATCAATTTGTTTTAAAGCTCAATAAATAACAAAGAAGACCTTTAACCGGCACTTATCTAATTTTGTCCGGAAGATTTCAACTTTAACGGACATGTTGACCGGCAAAAAAATATTCTAACGGGAACTCTGGTGCTTGGACAAATAAATGTTAGGTTCAGGTTTAATGCATTGGCTATTTGAAACTGAATTGAATGAACAAGTATTCTCTGTTTACAGGCATGCTGCCCCACAAAACCAAGAGAGGACAGGCCGCTCTGGACAGGATGAAGGTGTTCGACCCACCCAATTAAAAGGTGATGATCACAATTTAAAAAGAAAGGGCCACATTGTATGCTATGTGGCCCTGACATGTCTACTCTGCTGTCTGTGATGTTAACCTTTATACTTACTTACCTTGTTTGAGTTATGACTCTGAAAACAAACTCTCTCTGAGACATGCAAGCCTATCAATGCAAAGACATTTTGTTTTCTTTGACTGATTTTGGCTTTGTTTCCACAGAGGAAGCGCACGGTTGTTCCAGCTGCTCTTAAGATTGTGCGCCTGAAGCCCACTCGCAAGGTGAGCATCCAATATCTGTCTTTAAGAACAGACTAAATGGGGTTTTGGCCACACTTAAGATAACATTTTTAGTTCTTACATGGCTTTCATATTAGCCAACATGCAGAAATGGAAGTTAAATTTCTTCAATCTGCCACAGCGGTTCCTACTTGACAGTGATGAACACTATACCGAAACTGATCATCCATTGATGAGACAACTTTTCGGATCTGATTGCTGAGTTGAGATGAGGACATTCATGTGTGCTTGGACAAATACACTTTTGATTCAGGTTTAATGCATTGGCTATTTGAGACTTAATTGAACTAACAAGTATTCTCTCTTTACAGGCATGTTGCCCCACAAAACCAAGAGAGGACAGGCTGCTCTGGACAGGATGAAGGTGTTCGACGGTATCCCCCTACCCTATGACAAGGTGATGATCACAATTTTAAAAGAAACGGCCACATTGTATGCTATGTGGCCCTGACATGTCTACTCTGCTGTCTGTGATGTTAACCTTTATACTTACTTACCTTGTTTGAGTTATGACTCTGAAAACAAACTCTCTCTGAGACATGCAAGCCTATCAATGCAAAGACATTTTGTTTTCTTCTTTTACTGATTTTGGCTTTGTTTCCACAGAGGAAGCGCACGGTTGTTCCAGCTGCTCTTAAGATTGTGCGCCTGCAGCCCACTTGCAAGGTGAGCATTCAATATCTGTCTCAAGAACAGAGTAAATTGTGTTTTGGCCACACTTAAAGGTAGGGTAGGTAAGAATGGAGAAACCAGCTCGAGTGCGCTCGAATATGAAAGTACGCAGCTGAAAAAAAGCTGCCCCTTCCTTCAGACTTCCTTACAGAGCCCTCCAACACACGCACATGACCAATGAGGGCACGAGATAAGTTTGTGTCCGGGCCGGCTAAAATAATTGGTCTTGCTTTTTACAGCACCACGGCTTCCACAGATTACATTTTCTTTTTTAATATATTTATTGTCAAAGCATTTAATGTATTCATTGCTATCGGGATGTTAAGAGCATTCCATGGAATATAACAAAGTGTATCTCGAGCCGGTTTCTCAAACTTACCTACCCCACCTTTAATAGGTGCACTATCAAAGAACATGTGAATGTTTGTTTTAGTGGGAACTTTCTATTGCCTACACTTTAGAAGGCAATCTGATTAGGTTATTTAGAGAAGCTATGATTCACTTTGAAAGTTGCTTACTTTGACTTTTCTGTCTCAGTTTGCTCTTCTTGGGCGTCTGGCTCATGAGGTTGGCTGGAAGTACGCGGCCATCACAGCCACCCTGGAGGACAAGAGAAAGAAGGCTAAGCTGCGCTACGGCAAGAAGAAGTCTACGATCAAGCTGACCAAGGTGGCAGAAAAGAACGTTGAGAGCAAGATTGCAAAATACACGGACGTTCTGAAACAATATGGAGTCCTTGTCTGATCTAGTTTTCTCCGGCCAATAAAATAAATGTTTATAGAAAGTGTATTGACTGTTTCATTCCACTTGGCTGAAAGTTGCGCTTATATTGAAATAAAGTTAATTCCAATTGTATATTGGATCTGGCCATTGTTTGCAAGCTTGACTATGTATAGTGCGACCATGTGCTTAAGGGACTTGGCCAGATAAGCCAGGCGGTAATATGAAATGTGTGGAAGGAGATACTGGTGTAAATATGTATTTTGGGCATGGGAATGAATATAGGCTTCAGGTTTGAATATGGTGAATTCTGAAGGTTACAAGCCATAACGAAATCAGGCTAGACTGCTTCATTTAAGAAATTGGGCTTTGAATGTCATACACATGCGAGTGATCTTGGTTTCGAAGGACTAACTGGGATGTATCACTGGTTTGAAATAAAAGGGTAAATAAGGGCCAACAACGAAATAATTAAGACATGCATTGAAGTAAGAATATTTGCTTTGTATGTTCACACTATGTTCCCCCATCTTTATCTAAATTGTGGCATGTGCCAATAAGCATACCCATCTTTTATTGTAGTAAAAAGATCAGTGTTCAGAGAGCTATATTATTTTGCGTCTTTTTCATTGGACATTGCTTCACTTAATTTACTGATAGATTACAAGAATGGTAAATATGGTTGATTATAACACACTGTGGACTTCATTAATCGTCACATTTAATGATTTGTGGGACATTCTACCAGAAACTTATATTATCTGTCCTGGGATTGTTACAGTGAATACAAATTACAATCCATAACATATCTTAAAACTGATGAGATAGTGTTTTGTGAGTTGTTTGTACATAGGTCTGTGATTCACTAGGGTTTCAGGTGTTTTTTAATTTATTTAAAAACACTTTTGAAAAATAGAAGTTCTTAAAAATGGCCTGTCCCCAGCCAAATTGGAGCAAGGGGTTTACATTTTTTAATTAGCGAAACACATTTAAAAAAAAAGAAACGTCATTAATAACACATAACTTATCTTTTACCACAGTTCATTGAAAACATTGAATAATGCTTACATTTGACCAAAAAATTGTTTTACAACAGTCCCCATGTTTTTGGTCAGTCCTGTCACGCTTCATAAAATACTCCATAAAAAATTGTGCAATACACCTTTAAGAACATAATTGTGAAGGAGTTGCATCATCTGACTGAGGAGGAGCTGACAATAAGTGGGTAAATTCTGTCCTTGAATTTTAAGATTTTAAGATTTTAATCTGGTTTTTACACCTTTCTTTTTTTACGTGGACAAGCTTAAGGATCAGGCGCTGTCACGTTCAAATATCCCAGAAAAGGATTATGTTTTTGTTTTAAAAAAATGTATAAAAGTTCACTAAAATCCCTTGCTAGCAAGCTAACTATTTTTAAGCTAACATGTTGAAATGCTGAATAATGGCAGTTAAAATGGCCGACGGTCTGGCCCTGACCCTGTCACGTCAGGCACTGTCACAAAACAGCCTAACACTTCAGAGACATGTTTTGTATATCTGAGACCTCTAATATATATGAATGAAAAACAGTATAATAGGGGACCTTTAAATACCTGTTAATATTGTAATGGAGGTTATTATCTTTAAGTAACAATGACAGTCATTTGTTTTAATTCATGGAAATTGCAGTTTAATGGCTCCAGTCAGTGCAGCTGAGAGACAGAGGCAGTGTCGGGCGCGCAGAAATGCAGAACCTGATAGAAAGGAAAGACATCTTCAGAGAGAGAAGGAGAGATGGAGGCAGAAAAAAGAAAGTAGGAAAACTATTGACGAGTTGAGTAAGAGAGAGCAAAGACACAGGCGTAAGTTATGGCGAAAGCAACAACAACGATCTAGGCTCAAGAGAAAAGCCCCAGTTCCAGAACCGGAGCCAGGGACAGGGCTTTCAAGGTTAGAAAAGACTACCTTCATTTTACAACTTTATTTTACAGTCTAAACATATCAGTGTGATAACATGGTAATATACAATTTAATATCAAGTAAACTAAACAGAATGACCTTTTAATGTATATGTTTGAATGACTGTTAAAGGGAATGTAACTGTATGTTCAATGTATGTTACAGGCAAAAGAAAGAGGGACGAAAGCGTTCCAAGAAAGAGAGGAAGAAGCTGCATTAAATAAGGCCTTAGCAGCAGAAAAAAAGGAAAAAGAGACATATAAAATAAGGTTCCAACGGGTGTCAGGGTCTCCAGCAACAAAAGCTAGATATCTGAGGCCAAGAAGCAGTCCCAATGCAAGGAAAACCCTGTTCCATGACGCTTTGATTGAAGATCTACAAAGTCATATTGAACAAGCTGGTAATAGTCAGGAAAAAAGACTAATCATCAACCTGATGACAAGGAGGATTGTCAAAAAATACAGGTTGCAGAAATATACCCAAAGTACCTTTGGTTTTACCCAAAGGCGATGGAAAATAGTAGGAGGTAATCCATACTCTTTCTCAAGGAAGAAATGTGTCTGCATGGAAGAAGAATATAAAAACAAAATAAGAGCCTTTTACACAAGAGACGATGTGAGCCGTATAACAACAGGAAAAAAGCAGACTTTAACACATGCCAAGGTGGAGATGCAAAAAAGATTGCTCATGGACACCTTGCACAACCTGCACAAGATGTACTTGGCAGAGAACTCAAGGAAATCAGTTTCCTATTCTCTGTTTTGCAGACTTAGCCCTACTGGGTTGTGCACCCATCACTTTCAGATATAGGGAAACATGCTTGTGCAAACTGCATGAGAACTTAAAGTGGACCTATCATGCTATATTTAAATGATATATTGTAGGGCCATACCTAAGGTATATTTATTATACGTTTCTGTTTTCAAAATACCAAACAGATCATGCATTTTAGCCATGCCTCATTTCGCTCTATGTGCTGTTTGCTGTCTACGGGTCTGATTCTGCTGACCACGCCCCCCTGCAGGAGAGGGTAGCCGTGCTCTGATCAGCTGCTGGGCTGTCAGAAGAGGGGGAGAAAAAGAGATCTCCGTCCTCCGTGTTTTATTATATAGAGTCGTTATTCATTTGTTTTAAAGCTCAATAAATAACAAAGAAGACCTTTGACCGGCACTTTTCTAATTTTGTCCGGAAGATTTAAACTTTAACGGACATCTTGACCGGCGAAACAAACTGAAACTGAAACTCTGCCACACGGTCCCCTCGTTCCTTGGAAGAGGCGGAGAGGTGGGTGTTTGTCATCTGCTGGTGGACTAACCGGAGAGAATTACAGTGCTTGCCTCGACGGGGAGGGATTGCATTGCAGCGGGAGCAAAGGCTTGCCTCGGGGAGGGAGAAAAAAAGCCACAGCGGAGAATAAACAGAAGGGTAACCATGGTAACTATGGGCGGGAAGTCTTCTTCGCTGCTTTTGTGGCAGACTACAGCGCCACTTACAGGCCTGGCATATGTACTACATCGTCTCCAGCGCTTTCGAGCGGCAATGGCCGGCCGTGGCCCAACCCCACATTCCCCTGGTAGGTGGAGAGTTGGCCCAATAGCCGTAGCGCCACTGTCCTGACGTCAGGACAGTGTTCAAATCTGGATCAGTTTTTATTAGATCCGTTGCAGCCCCTTTTTTAGAGATTTGGGTATGGAGGAAAATAGAGAGGGTTGTGTTTTCTGACACTTGGTGAGTTCCCTGGAACACCGGGGACACATATTCATGTTTAAAAGACGTATAAAAGTGCATTTTGCATGATAGGTCCCCTTTAAGCTTTGTAGCGGAAAGGCTTTGCAGCCTGAAGTTGCTCAACACCCCTGAACTAGAGACATTGATGGCACAGATCTGTTGTGACAAAACTAGTAAGGAGTGTATGTACAATGACTGTGTGGACTGCAAAGAGAAAGACTTCCCATTTCTCGGGGTGTGTGAGGCTTGCGCCAGGGTGGCATGTATGCAGTGGGTCACAGAGGACACTAAAGGACAAGACAAGAACAATATTCAAACAACATTCAAGAAGACAGTAAAGAAAATGGTCGAGATGACACTCGATGATCTGACTCATCTACCTCTTCACTACCATGCTTGTGAAATGTAAACGGCATACATTCAACATCTGACAACAGTACAAATACTGCAGAGAACTGAAGAGGAATATGTCAGAGAACGAATGTATCATACATGTTGACTTCTCTGAGAATTATACATGTAAATATGCATCAGAGATCCAGGCAGTGCACTTTGGTGCATCTCATGAGCAAGCGACACTGCACACCGGAGTTTTATATGTAGGATCAAATGCTGAGCCCTTGTGCTTCAGTACCATCTCATCATCACGACTGAAGGGTCCCCCAGCCATATGGGAACATCTAAGCCCTATTTTGTCCTACATTAAGGATGTCTTCCCAGCTGTCACAGTGGTCCATTTTCTCAGCGACGGACCTTGTACACAGTACCGCCAGAAGGGGAACTTTTCCCTCTTTACCTCCCTACTCCACAAAAAAGGATTCCAAGCTCGGACATGGAATTTTTTTGAGGCCAGCCATGGCAAAGGGGCGCCGGATGGTGTGGGAGGGGTTTTGAAAAGGAGTGCAGACCGTTTGGTGAGCCATGGCTGTGACATTAACAATGCAATGGGTCTGTTTGAGGCCTTGGTAAACACAGGCACCACTATTAAACTGTTCTATGTAACTGAAGAGTCCATTGACATGGCAATACAGAACATGCCAGAAAGCATCCCCCAAGTCCCCTCAACAATGAGAATACACCAGATTCTCACAACCTCTCCTGGACAGATGTTGTACCGGGATGTGAGCTGCATGTGCACTGTAGACAAGATTTACCATTGCACATGCTATAACACAAAGGCATTCAGCTTCAACAAACCAACGACCACACCAGCAATAGAAGAGATAAAATGGGGTCCAGATGTTATAAAAAAGTGGTGTGTAATAAAATCAACCCGGTATCACGGCAAGACGTGAACATGTGACGATCTACCATGCTGGTGTAGCAGGATGAGAGTCCTAATCCCTTGGAAAGCATATTCTCCTCTTTTGGCTCTTGTGAGCATATCACCACCAGGGGGCACCCTATAAAAGGGCAGAGGTTTCTAGCTGGCTGTCTCTTGTTTGTTGGTACACAGACCCGCCCCACTTGCGTGTTTGCCGTGTTTGCTTCCGCCACCGGTGCAGGTATGTTGCAGTTGCATTGCTCGCTTCAGGAAAGGTTCTGCAATTTGCCGAGAAGGGTCTAGCTGCGGCCGCGGCCAGTGCACGACACTACACGACACGCCCCCTACACGACACGCCCACCTGACACGACACTACGGTGGCTGAGAGACATTACCGTACATGGCAGATTAAAAGCGAATTGACGACACTGACGCTGACGCAAGGATATTTAAGGAGACATGAGGTTTACAGAGAACAGACAAACAATATGGCGCACCGAGTACAGGTAATTAACGTATTGTGGTTTTAGATATAATTTAGGGTTGTCAGTCGATTAAAATATTTAATCGCGATTAATCGCATGATTGTCCATAGTTAATCGCAAATTAATCGCACATTTTTTATCTGTTCTAAATGTACCTTAGAGGGATATTTTTCAAGTTTTTAATACTCTTATCAACATATGAGTGGACAACTATGCTTTATATGTTTGTTTATTATCATTTGAACAATGACAAATATTCTCATGAATATTAAACACAACAACCTCTGAACATTACAAATATTCGCCTCAATTCAACCTAGAACCTCTCTCATACAATACTGTGTGTGTGTATGTGTGTGTGTGTGTGTGTGTGTGTGTGTGTGTGTGTGTGTGTGTGTGTGTGTGTGTGTGTGTGTGTGTGTGTGTGTGTGTGTGTGTGTGTGTGTGTGTGTGTGTGTGTGTGTGTGTGAGAATGTGGAGGATCGTTGGAGCTATGTGCAGCTCAAGGCATATATGCCTGTGTGTATGAGCTGTGTTGCGGCACTATCCGTGCTGAGTGTGCTGTCTGGCTACCTGGCTACCTGCATAAAGTCAAGTGCTCGGCGCAGTTGTCGGCGAAATGTCGCTCCTCTGTTTTCATTGAAACAGCTCCTTATATCCGTTAGCTCAGCTAGCTAGCACCAGATGCTAACAACAACACGTAAGGTGTGCTTCGCTCGCGCCACACATACACACACCCTCCCGGTCCTCCCGATGGCCAGTCCGGGCCTGCCGGTGAGCGTGGAAGTGTGGTCTGCCACAAGCGGGCAGCAGGAGCGGGGCTGTCAGCATCAGCTTGTAGATGGTATTTTAAACTCGATGCGCTCTGAAACTACGGCGGCCGAGGACAAAAAATACACATGCGTTAATCGCGTTAAAATAATTAGTGGCGTTAATTTTTTTTTGCGTTAACGCGTTATTAACGCCCTAATATAATTACATACTATTTATTTAGGTTCTCGTTTGTTTGTCGATGTGGCTGTTTAGCGCAGTGTAATTGTGTTTATTTTGCTAATTTGTATTTTAAATGTAAAGGAATGGAATACATATATATATATATATCTTAGCTTGACATGCTCGTTCAGTTAGCATGTCAAGCTAAGAGCTAAGATATATGTATATATTTTAGCTTGACAGATGGAACAATGCATGTACTCGCATTTTTACAAGAATCTGATTTTGTGTACGTTTTAAATATTCATTGAAGGTGTCTTTCACATTTGAATGTTTAAAAAAAAAAAAACATGTATTAGCTGCTATACTGACATGCACATATGTATAATTATATTATTATTTTAAGTGTGGTTTAAAGTTAAATGATATATAGTTATTGGGTAGAGCCAAGTAACCCAGGTGGATGCAATCAGGCCTCTGTTTTTAGATGGGGTTTGTGGCCATGCTGTAGGCCTGACATTTAAACCATAGACTGTATATATAAAGATTTAAACTAGCTGAAGGGCTTTCTGTTCGAACCACAGTGACATCTAGAGGTTGTTTTGTGCATAACATGTCAACCAAAAGGGTAGAGCTGGCTGAATCAGATGGAGTTAAACTTTTTTTTTTTTCAACAAGATATCAAGACACAAAATGTGCTCTACCAAATGGTGGCGCTGGCAGTTAAAGGGTTACCTTCTGAAAGTGAGGAAGTATGACCAGCTTTGTCCCATAGGATTATACAAGCCAGTCCATTGCTGCTTGTTTAAGGAGTTAACTATTTCCAATATTAAAGTCACTGAAATTGTATTCTATTTTATTCACCTATAGACAAACAACACAACACTCCGTGATGGAGCACACCCAGAGCTCAACAAATTGGACTCGGACACCTTCCAGTGTACATTTTGTGAAAGGACCGGGTCATACCCTGGTCTGATGGCTCATTTGCAGAGCCACCAGAGGGCACTTGTGAAATATGGAGGTAAGTACATCTATAATTCTATATGATCATTGTATACTTCATCACATTACATTACATGTTACTTGTTAGATGTGTTTAATGCCTCACACATTATGGATACATGTGTTATTTCTGTGCCCCAGGACATCCTTGGTGTAAATTAATTTTGAATTATAAATTGAACATTAAAAATTAGATTTATATTCAGGTTATGAAGTGTTAATAATGCTGGAAAAGTATCCTTATTTGGGGTAGGCACAATATAAGCATAATCACACATTCAATCTGCAAAAATTCAGTTTATAGGCAAAAATATTATTGTTGGTGACATGATTATGTATTGCTCTCGCACAAACACCTTGTTTCAAATTGCATATTTACAAGAAATTCATGTTGGTTTGTTTCTAGAATCCTCTAAACCACTTTCTGTCTCTTTTTAGGTTATAATGTTTATAAATGCCATCTCAAATGTGTGGCCAGCAGCCATTATCACTGTGGCTTTTGCCCAAGAATCATTGGGAGAAAGGAGATGTTTATTAGTTACTTTAAAAACTGCTGCACTGAACATCCAACTACGTTGGCGGCGGCCCCAGCAACCACGACTCCTCCAGTGATGGCCCCGACGACCGCTCCAGTGATGGCTCCGACGGCCGCTCCAGTGATGGCTCCGACGGCCGCTCCAGTGATGGCCCAGACGGCCGCTCCAGTGATGGCCCAGACGGCCGCTCCAGTGATGGCTCCGACGGCCGCTCCAGTGATGGCTCCGACGGCCGCTCCAGTGATGGCTCCGACGGCCGCTCCAGTGATGGCTCCGGCTGCTGCAGCAACATGGCACAATATTTCCACAGCCCCCAACATTTTGATGTCAAAGCGCAAAACCACAACATGTTGTTTTTGTAGCCTACAACTAAAAAGGAAAATGTTTCACATGATGTTCTGTTCAATAAATGTTCATTGAGGAAAACGGTATCAGTGTCTTATTGTATATTCATCACAGTGAATGCAGTGAATGCTGAACTTGCCGGACCATATACTGTAGTTGAAAGTACACAATAACACTGGCTTGCTTGTATCAAATCAATACAATTCCCACATGCCCTACCCCGGAACCTGCGGTCTTCAGACTCTGGCCCCCCGCACCAACCTGCGATCCTTCGGGGACAGAGCCTTCAGTATGGCAGCCCCCACTCTCTGGAACGCTCTCCCTGCGGAGATCGGCAACATCCCCACGCTTGACGCCTTCAAAAGGGCCCTCAAGTCTGCCAAGGTCTTTGGCCCCAAATCTATTTGTTTTGTCTGTCTACTCTAACTGTTCGTCTGACTGCCTTTTGTTATGTTTGTTTCTACTCCTGTTCTTTTTAAAGCGACCTTGGGTCTCATGAAAGGCGCTATATAAATCCAAGTTATTATTAATACATCATTGGAACGGTAAGAATCTCAGCTACAACACTGACTAAAGCCTTCCCATCTCCAGTATGCCTACATGACAAGCATTTTTATAATATACAGTAAACATATCTTTGACTTATTGCAAAATTATAAAATTAAATTCACCCCTGCTGTCATTCTGGCTTTGACTGTTCAAATGAGATGTCAACCATCAAAATGGGATAAGGGGTTCCAGAAATATCACTGTGCAAAACACACCGGCCAATTTTGACCGATAATAGTATGGGAAGGGGGGTATGACCGAACGCAAGAGAAGAGACAATCATCAAGCCAGATACCAAGGTATTTACAACAGGCAACCACTTCAATTACTTTTCCTTTATGTAATTGTTATTTGGTTTTTATTAGTGCTTTTGTCGTTTTGAAGGAAATTAAAATACTGTATTGAGTTGGTTTCTTCTGTTTTGGAAGGCTTGTATATCTTTTTGGTCTTGTTAGAAATACCCCATGGTAAAACTGTGTTCTAGCAGCAGTTAAAGAAGCTTAGTTTGCTGTCTTAGACTGCCAGATGTATTAAGATGGTTTGTTCACAATTTACACATAAAACCTAAATGTTCATCTGTTTATTGTTCTTCTTCCTTTATATTCAAAGCATGTTGATTGTCTATTGGCTATATCTTGACATTATGTTAATTTGATCATACTTGCCATACGTTTATTTTAATTGATGCGATTCCTTCAAAGGTTTTGTAATAGACCCCTAGTACTTTTAATTTATAAAGTAATAATACATGTGAATGATTGAGCTCATTAGTGGCCTGACTGGCCCTCCTAATTTGTTCCTTAATGACCCCATGATGTGATTATGTATATCTTAAAACCTTTAACAACTATATTTAGATGTTCACAAATATCTACATTTATGTATAAAATACATGTGTAGCAGTTAGACAAACATAATCAATAGATTATCTCATTAATACCTATTTTATATATTAAAAAAAAGTTTACTAAACCACCGTTTGTTGACAAAATGATTTGGGTTGAAAGTTATACTGTTGTGTCTCAAACGGATAGACTAGGTTATTAATTTATTTGCCTAATAGTTGCTTAAAATGCTACAATAACATTTGCAATTCGTTTTTAATCTGCCATGTACGATCTCAATAATAATAAATGTCGTCAATTCGCTTTTAATCTGCCATGTACGGTAATGTCTCTCAGCCACCGTAGTGTCGTGTCAGGTGGGCGTGTCGTGTAGTGGGCGTGTCGTGTAGTGTCGTGTACTGGCCGCGGCCGCGGCTAGACCATATTGAATTTGCCAGCGTATTGATACTTAACCCTGCTTTGCCTCACCTAGTGGTGGATCCTCCGGGTGCAGCCTGTCAACGCAGCCATAGAAAGCATGAAGCTCTCTCCTCTCTGCGTCATCGATAGGAAAGCCTGATCGGTATGTGCGCTGTACGGCGATCTATTTAGTCAATCCACCTCATTACTTTTATTGATATTAACGCTGTCTTTGTATTTATTCATAAACCTAGGGCCAATCCAATGATTAAGGGACATCTGCTGTTTTGCTTCACCGGAGAAAGTGTATTTATCGGCACAACTGCTGTTGATCCTGCCTAAATGTTTGGGCTACTGCTGCTATATTGCTGCTTCTGATTGCTTCTTCTGGCCAGCTTTGCGTCGCCTACTGCGGAGGCTCGCTCACCAGTTAAAGTGCTGCTTTAACTGCACGCCTTCCTGCTGCCTTGCTTGGGCCGACACTTGAAGTGTGGAAGTCATTGAACTCTGGGGCTAACTCCCCCCTATAACTTGTCCTTACTTTGGCCAACTTGATTTCAATTTAAATTAAGTTTATTTTATTCTAGTTAATTGTTTATTTTGTTTAACTGAACCTTTTCTCTTGTGATTTGTTTTATTCTTAAATGTTTACACAAGTTATCTGTTTATGAGAACATATTTGCTATTGTGTTTATTACTTTGATTTACTTATTTAGCCCCCATTAACTGCATTTCCCTCTTTGTTTCCCTACTTAGTTACTGAGAGCTGAAGGTGGTGGTGCTGGTGTCCAAGGTGGTGGTTTTCCTCTCTTGTGTGATGTGCTCCCCCGGGATTTGATTTCCTGCACGTATGACTGGGGGGTGATTTAAGTTTGGTTTGTTTGGGGATCCTTCCACTCACTCGTCGACCCTATCCCCCCACTGGTAAGCCTCAGCCCCTAATTCATTTTTTTTCCCTTTGTGCTACAGCCCTGTGTGACTGTTTTAAACTGCATTTTAAACTATTGACTTGTGCTAAATAAAATTGTATATTTTTGATAAATTGAAACCACGTCTCCGGCTCCATTAGTATTCAAACCTATGTGTCCTCTGAAAAAGTGTTAATATTTCCTTGGGTGAAACTCCCAAGGTGGTGTTGTCGGAATTGTGAATGGTGTAATCAAACCAACTTGAACAAATACATTCACCCAGTGGCGGCCGGTCCATAGGGGCGCTAGGGGCGCCGCCCCACCTCTTCCCATATTGAAAAAAAAAAATAATAATAATAATTAAAATTAAAATTAAAAAAAATATATATGTTTAAAAAAATATATATATTTTTATTTTTATTTTTAATGAACAAGGTAAATATTATATAATTGGTATCAGTAAAATGTATAATCTACAATAAAATCTCGTTTAAAATTGTGTTACGATGTCTAAAGTTACTGATAAGTCACATGTTTCCTGCCTGGCCTTGCCCATGCACCTTCTCTCGTCTGGGCGCTAAGAGAGGAGCCTTCAACCAGTGCAGCAGCAGCCACCAGCAGCTGACTGTTGCTATCTGTAACGTGTAAACTATGCCGCGAAAATATAATTTCAGCCAATCAGCGTCGTCAAAGATGACGGTCACCGGGCGCCAATGTCAGCGCCCAGTGCAGTCTGTGAGTAGTTTGGACAGTGACTCGTATCCGGTTGACGCAGTAGTTGATGAGGATGGCTTCGTGTGCAGGTGGAGTCTCCGGACCTCGGTCCCCGCCTAATTTTGTTCAAGAGCTAATCTCCAATCCTTTCGAAAGGAGAAGTTTGGCAGATAAATTGTTGCTTAAAGACCTTGGACCGGATCAACCCGATTTGAATATATCGCAGCAATCTCGTGAAAAAGACAAAATGTATACACGAGGCTTCACAAGTAGCTGGTACACAAGAAAGGCTTGGCTAGCTGGATGCAAACAGGTAAATGCTGTCTTTTGTTTCCCATGCTTGGATATCACTTTATATGTAGAGAGGAGGTTTCCCATGGTTGTTAGAAGTTTATTAATAAGTGGGCATTTATCACAGAAGTGATTGTTCTGTCTCCACGTTTGTTGCATTGTCTGTGATGTATTTTCCAACGGTTATAGCTCCTGTTCTGTCCCAGCAACACTACACGGTTTGCAGCTCCACCACATTTTTGGTTTATCTTCGGTGTCGCTTAAAATCTGCTTCCCATCGGACTAAAACCTCCACGTAATCTGAAGACAGATACTTGAAGTTATTTAAACCTTTTGCAAACTTTATGTTCTTTCTTGCTCTAGCCTTGCCAGTTACATTGTACATAACACATATATTATCATTATGCTAACTGGTTGTTCGTGTTAGACGATGTAGCTTTTTCATTTCTGAGTTATTGCTATATGTAAATAAGCCTGTTTGTAAATAATCCTCAGAGAAACAAAGAAAAAACACAATTTATGACATTTTGTGCTGTGGTTATTTTTTTTAAATTGCATTTATTCACAGTTCAGTTTGAAATGCTGTAGTGACTTGTATTGAACCACTTAAATATTTATAATTAATGCTACTGAAAAGATGCTATTAATTTTATATCTCACATGCAGTTCACTGTAAAGCTACTTGGTGAAGGTGTTGGTTCATAAAACATGAACAGTTTTAAGAAAGAAAAAAACAGACCAGTTCTGAGAACACAAATTCCTGGTAAAGTAGTAGATGTTCAGGTTGATAAATAATATTTTCCACACTGAAGATTATGGAGGTATTGATCAGTCTTCTCATATTTTTAAGCCTCGATTTCTCCTTTCCCCCCCCCTCTAACATCACCAGAAGTCATCATTTAAGGGGTCATTTCTCGAAAAAAAATTCCGGGGGGAAACCCCCCGGACCCCCCGGGTAGGTCACTTACGGTACGTCAAGAGCCCCACCAAAAAAAAAGACCACCGGCCGCCACTGCATTCACCTATCCTCCCCTCTGCAGCTACTGCCACACTGGGAGACGTGAATATGTCACGGTTTCGTCCCTTCAAACGTGACAGTTACACGGTATTGTTAACATGGCCCAACCTACATCCATGGGCCCAACCAGTGGAGAAATACCCGGAAGTGCCAAGCAAATGGTCTACCGCGCCTATTGGTCGGTTTTTATTGTCAAAATGAGATGTTTTTAATTTATTTTTTAATCGTCACACTTGATTTCACCGATTTTCTTGTTGCCCTAGCTGGTCGACACCTCTTTTAGCAGAAACAAAGGCTACATTAATGTATTAAATCGATGTTAATCCATGTGTGTGGATCATAGACTGGTGTGGATGTGGAATTAACGGACGTGACGTTGTGCGATTGCGTTGCCTGGCAACGCAATTTACAAACTCTTCAACTACAACCCTAATTATATTTAAAAACATTTTAGAAGGCCTCACGAAATACTTTAATGTAAATGTGAAGGGATGTGTGTAATGTGGTGATTGACATTATTCACCCACGGATCTATGGGTTGGGGGTATTGTTCCGCACGGACATTTTAGTTAACCGGACTTGCTGTTGATGTGAAATCCGAACGGGATCGAAAAATAATCTTTCTCTCTCCATTGACTTCAATACATAATTTTTCCGAAATAAAGTCCCATGGAGGTCCACCGGAAGGGGAGGGACTTCGCCACTCCATTAATGTAGCCTTTGTTTCTGCTAAAAGAGGTGTCGACCAGCTAGGGCAACAAGAAAATCGGCGAAATCAAGTGTGACGATTAAAAAATAAATTAAAAACATCTCATTTTGACAATAAAAACCGACCAATAGGCGCTGTAGACCATTTGCTTGGCACTTCCGGGTATTTCTCCACTGGTTGGGCCATGTTAACAATACCGTGTAACTGTCACGTTTGAAGCAGCGCCATATAGATAGAATTTCTATTATACGGCTCTGGTTTGAAGGGACGAAACCGTGACATATTCACGTCTCCCAGCATGGTAGATCGTCACATGTTCACGTCTTGCCGTGATACCGGGTTGAATAAAATATGACAGTGACTTCTATCCTGGCATCATTACTGCCATTGATGAGGTTCAAGTGCAAGTGAAATGCATGCACAGTGCTGGAGTAAACAGGTTATTTTGGCCTGCAAGAGAAGACATGATCTGGTACCTATTTGAGGATGTAATTTGTTTCATTCAACCGCCTCAGCCTGTGACCAGCCGTCATCATGAGATAAAAAAAGAAGTTTGGGCCAAATTGGCAAAATAGAAGGATGAAAAAAATGTTCCTCGTATGTGTCATTAGCTCCAATTGAAATGATGACATGCATGCAGTGTGTTTTGGTTTTGTTCGCTTTCAAAAACACCTGAAACCCTAGTGAATCACAGACCTATGTACAAACAACTCACAAAACACTACTATTTCATCAGTTTTAAGATATTTTATGGATTATAATTTGTATTCACTGTAACAATCCCAGGACAGATAATATACGTTTCTGGTAGAATGTCCCAGTAGCTGTCTTTACTACGATTCATTGAATGTGCAGCTGCATTCTCTTTTGTAAGCGGTTAGATAACCTCAGAGAAATGACTTCATAACATGTGAAAAGTCCAGCATTCACAAATGTAGCATTCTTAAATAAACGACATGCGTGATATCAGTAAAGTTAATTTACATTACTATATCAAACATTTTCCTTTATTAAAAAACACCTGAAACCCTAGTAAATCACAGACCTATGTACAAACAACTCACAAAACACTACTATCTCATCAGTTTTAAGATATTTTATGGATTATAATTTGTATTCACTGTAACAATCCCAGGACAGATATACGTTTCTGGCAGAAAGTCCCTTCTATTGCTACTAGAAGTGCTATTCTAGTCAATGTTAATGTTCATTGTATCTGGTCATTTGACTGTTAAATGAAATTGTATTGAACTGTTAAATTACTTGTTATTAATTGAAACAAAATGTTAAGCTGACAATTAATATATTATTATTAGATGAAATTAATTGTTAAATTACCAATGTTATGTTGTAATAAATGTGTTTATCAAAACAATGCTTCGAGCAGTTATCAATACATTTCTATCAAATCTTATCGTGTGTCCTTAAATGATTATTACCACATCAGTCTAATATTGAATCATGATAATGATTTAAAAAAGGAAAACTTACCAAAACAAGATTTAAAAAAATACAAACATAACTTTTCTGAATCAATTAAATCTATTAAGTCAGTACTGTCACAAGCTGTCAACCCTGTCACGACAGGGTCAGTCCTGTCACACAGGAAATTATAATACAGAAATTGACTATTTACATTTTTTTTAAGTGAAATAACCTCTGCAATTGTGAGCTTGGAGGTGGGGGGTCATATCCACATCAACTGTTTTGAAAAA